TAACAATTTTATGTGAAATTTTATATGATTTTATATGATTTTAACAATAAGCTTGTGTAAACGACGGAAAATAAAAGTATTGTATTGAAACACAAGCATGATGCAATTAAGATATAAGCAATACAATACATATTATAAAGTAAAATTCATACTATTAAATGAATTTCACATAATACAAACAAAGTAATGATAAGTTACAATTCGCACATGCTGTAGCGTGTATAAACTTGATAGAATTCTTATGAGTACAGTTTAATGGATTTCAGCGTATGGAAAAGAATGGGAGAATATAGGTGGCAGGATAAAATGTGGAATTATAAGCAACGTAGCCATGTGACGTTGCAGAGACCATTTTGAGAGAGGTCCATGTTTACACAGCTGTGCCAATGTAGACAAGAAAAAGCCCGAGACCAACTGATAAGCTTAGAACACGCACTACCGCAAAATAGTACTTTCAGATTTCGTCCAAATTCTGCACTAACGTAATGAGACGCGATGAAGTTATGGACCGTGATAAAGTGAAAATGAGGGGTGTCTGAATGGACTGCTTGTCTTCTGACTGTTATTAATAAAAACAGCTGGTGACCGGAATTTGGAATAGCTGATATAAAGTTGCTAGTTACTCATATCATATAATTCTTGTAACGTAGAAACATTTGGAAAATTTCCTCGCATTTGTCTGAAGAGAATTGTGCAGTTTAATCAGTGTTTGCTTTTAGAATGGTATGGTGACATCCTAGTTTCACAACCATATTCTTTCTAGAACATAGTAAGTGGTGTTTATCGTGTGTGAAAATTTTGTTTCTCCTGGAATTTCCGATCTTTAATGTTTTATACTGAAATATCACAGGATATTTTCCCAGATTCCATACTGTACACCTACTCTTTGGTATTCAAATGTCGTTCCTGTATCCAGAACGAACCGCGCGAAGCACCAAGATTATACGCTGAATAGCAAAGAGGACAATTTTCATGGCGGGGGATCATTGCGTGAAATGGTGATGCGAGGTGAGATGAGGTAAGGGTGAAACTGCAGTCCCAAAGATGATGCAAGTATCAGAACTACCCCTCAACTGTTAGCGGAAATGAAGAAATATGATACCAAGGGCAACAAAATTTTACAGCCTATGCACAGTACAGTCATAATGTTAAAAACAAGAAGCTGTTGTAGCGACATATTGAAATCAGGCAATGCGCTAATCATTAAGTGCTTGCAACCTACTTTCGTTATTATGCGTCCTTTGCACGATGTCAAACAAATGAAGGCATTTACAGCTCGTCATGTTTGCCTGTCTGTCCGCTTGATGATATTCAAGAACCGCTGGACGGATTTGGGTGAAATTTGATATGGATGTTATGCCATTGTTTAGTACCCTAAAACAGTAATAGATTTTAAAAATTTACCATTTGTTGCTTGATTTAGTTATGGTTTAAGATTATTGCAGCCCCTGTTCAAATACGCTGGTTGTTTATTGGTTATCAGTTTGAGTATGTTTAAATTGTGTTTCTCTTTTAAATTATCTATTGGAATATGAAGCTTCCTATGCTCACGACGGAGAGTATAAAGATGGATGAATTCTGAGTTGTTGCACCATGTACTCTAGAAGTTTACCGACGTTTCAGAGGTGGTTGCTGCCTTCATCATTAAGACGTTTGCCCTGCACATCTGAAACGTCGGTAAACTTATACTATACTACACGGCGCAACAACCCAGAAGATAGTCATATTTGTCTATTGGAATGCATTATTATATGCTATTTAATATTTGTCTTTAGTGTTATGTGTTTTGTACTTTGGTTGTGATTTCGGATTTGAATTATATCCTGTTCGTTTTTCAGCAAGAGAAAATGCTCTTCTGTGGGATGTTTGTGTCTGAAGGGAAGCGAAAAATAGGAACGAATGTTGAAAATTGTTGAAATAATGCAGGGAAGGTCGAGCCAGCGAAGGGAGATGACATAACCTGTAGGCTTATCCATTCTCATTTATCAAGCTCGTGGATGGGGCGCGTTCGGGCAGGGGATCGGAATACTGCCTGTAATACTCACCGGCTGGATTGTATTTTATTTAAAAAGAGAAATCTTGGTGTATTCAAAACCCTCATTAATATCGTTACCTAAAGGGGATAATCTCCTCTTTGTAGGGTTTTACTTTTAGTTGACATAACAAGGCAATTAATACTTTGTTGTTTGCGTCGCCATGGAAACCAGAGTTCAGGCCGTGTTCTGGGAGAGTGGGCATCTGGTGCGTACCCTTTTATGAAGTCTGAGGCTAGAGTCTCGGATTACAGTCTTAAAGATAAGGTCTGTGGTCTTATAAGGGTTCGGATGTACGTCGTTCCCGGATCCTTGCCCGACTGATGATGTTAAGACAAAATGTTACCGACTTATGCCTTTAGACCCCCCCCCCCTCCTCTTTAAAGTGTATACACCAAAACGAAAACGTTGCCTATAGACCAGGCGTATGAAACGTCGGTCTAAAAAACAAGTCCAGGGTGACTTGCGTGCCAAAGTATTTCAGACTACTTTGGCCTGCGCTGTGGAATGCGTAAGAAGTTCCTATGCAGGTGAGTGTATCTAGGTTTGTGTATGTTGAGACAGCCAGCAGCTTTGCGAGCCTTCGGCGTGTCGAGGGCAGGAAATGTGGACAGGAGTCCTCCTCCTACCATGTACTCTGTCAGCTCTCAGCCTTGGCCGAGCATAGACAACGATCCATCTAGGTATTAATCTATGGTATCGATCTTCGGCTCTGCATAGTTAGAGACGATAGGACCGTAGTTAGGTCAGTTCTGTCTCAAAAATGTAGTCAGGGTTCTTTGAAGGACCTTAACGAGATCAGGGGTGAACAATGACCCCAGATATGGTCTAGGTGCCTGGTTTTTTTTTGCCCCCCCCCCCCCCAGATCAGTGACTAGACCCCACGCCCCAAGCTGCGGACTCCGTTTCATGTTTAGATTAAATTTCTCCATATAAGACTTTTCTTTATTTACTGGTGGAAATGTAATTTGTAGATAAAAGGGACCGAAGAATCGACCAGGAAACAATTCCAGGTGTAATTTATTTCTAGCTGCAATAATTAACACCGAACACTATCAGCTACAATGCAAGGTAGTTCGCGAGTTTATTTTGGCGTTCTGGCTTGTATGCAGATTATCATAAGGTCGAATCCCAGTCAGGCTACTTTTTGTCATTGCTTACAGTTGTAAATAACTTTCTGTGCGTTATAAGTGTTAGGACTACTAGGGTCATATTGTTGTTATTATCATCATCACTATATTGTTTAAAAGAAATTACTGACATATGTAGGCCTACAGATTCTGTCGGATAAAATCTCAAATATCCACACAGTCACAGTGACTTATAGTGGGACCAACTTTTAATACCTGTGTCGTAGAAGTCTGCCGCCTGGGATTGGAACCACTGTGTGACAGCCATCTCCGCCTCTCTGTCATTCTCAAAACGCTGACGCTGACGCTGACCGGACAGGAATTTCTTGAGGTGTAGGAAAAGATGGAAATCACTGGGAGCGAGGTCCGGGCTGTAGGGTGGATGATTAAACACCTCCCAGCTGAACTTCTGCAGGAGACTTGCTGTCCGTCGAGTCGTGTGCGGCCTAGCGTTATCACTGACCGCACTTCACAGTCGGCGGGAGCTGGAATAAGAACCTCCATCTTCAACAGCTGCAACGATGCTACTGTGAGAACGCGGGAAGTGCCGTTAGTGCATGCGCCATGCTACGTCATTGCTCTATCACGTACGCACAGTCGCTTCGCGCAATATAAGGTTTGCTAGCTGTGGGACGAGTGGGAAACTTACTTTGTGGACGCGCCTCGTATCATAGTAATCTGTAACTATGCTTATGTTGTATCTCTATACAAAATTGCATTTGCCTAGTTTCAAACTGGAAACCAAAGAACATATTTTCAGGGCCACCCTTTCTTTGTTTTTCATTGTGCGAAATTGCGATCTTAACAGAACTTAAATATCTCTAAGGATCTGTTAGCATACATCATTTAAGAATTCTATAGTAAGTAGCACCAGTGTTACTTCAAGATCTGCGAGACCGCCATGTTCCTGTTAGCAACTATGGGAAATTTAAACGTTCGAGGTCGTGTGTCCTTCAATGGCATAGTACGCATATATTGCATTCATCGAGTGGTTGTAGAGTTGAAACATGGAAAGAGACGGATGGATAGATGGATGGACAGCGTTTTGCGCACATCCTACAGAGAACGTAAAAAAATAATTTGACGTCAGTATATTTTATCTATATGCACAATTCATAAACACGATTAGCCTACAAATTTTCTGTGTAATAGTTTTATATCTAATGATTTATCTTAATGGGGTATTATTAGTGGAAATGGATAGGGGGTAACTAATTGCCTAATTGTTGTTCCGTATTTCTTGTTGTCAACCTCTACCTAGAAATTAATTTTAAGCATTACGTCGAGAAAGCTTTTATTAAGAGGTGTGAAGTTCTCAAGAAGCAAGCAGTCAGAGTAGAAATGTTTTGTTTCTGCCCGTCGATAATAATTAGTCTGTGAACGATGTGATAATGTCGCTTGTAAATATTAGAAACAAGCCAGTCCCCTTGCCGATTCCTGACAGTGAAAAATGTGGTTTGTAAGTAAAGAGACGCAAAAAGAAGTGGGGTGCTAGGGACGATGACTACAGGAAAAGTAAAGAAGGGATTTTTACTTTGTTATTATTGTACTCATCCATATTCAACGGGCCTGCACCTCGTTATTCAAAACTTACGATCTCAGACAGAGAGTGTGGGCCTGCTGCCTTTACACTCCCCTCTTAGCCTTCAGTTTTTACGAAGGTGCGTAGGGGAGTTTAAATTGCGTGTGCGTGTACGTGAGGTGAAGTTTTACGCTACATCAAGTTTCTAAATCTCCCTGAAGTCAGACTTCCTTCTTCTTTTGCTAATGCAGCCGGTAGCTACCAACTCCTTGCGTGTTCAAGTGATACATGGTTCTTCCTTTACGTGTCTACATTGCTCTTCTTCTTCTTCTTCTTTTTTGTCATCCTTACGAGTTGGACCTTCAGGTCCCTTTTCGTCCGCGTAAGGTCTTGAACTGCGTTACTGATTTTGTTATTCTTTGGTGTTATTATTGAAGTTTGTTGCTTTCATATGGTTAATTATTGTTAATAATGAATGAATGTCGCCCTGACGACGGAGGCAGTATGACCTCTGAAATGTCGGTAAACATCTACCAGACTACGCGGCGCAACAACTCAGAAGACAGAAATCTTCATACTCTGATGACGGAGGCAGTATGACCTCTGAAATGTCGGTAAACATCTACCAGACTACGCGGCGCAACAACTCAGAAGACAGAAATCTTCATACTCTGATGACGGAGGCAGTATGACCTCTGAAATGTCGGTAAACATCTACCAGACTACGCGGCGCAACAACTCAGAAGACAGAAATCTTCATACTCTGATGACGGAGGCAGTATGACCTCTGAAATGTCGGTAAACATCTACCAGACTACGCGGCGCAACAACTCAGAAGACAGAAATCTTCATACTCTGATGACGGAGGCAGTATGACCTCTGAAATGTCGGTAAACATCTACCAGACTACGCGGCGCAACAACTCAGAAGACAGAAATCTTCATACTCTGATGACGGAGGCAGTATGACCTCTGAAATGTCGGTAAACATCTACCAGACTACGCGGCGCAACAACTCAGAAGACAGAAATCTTCATACTCTGATGACGGAGGCAGTATGACCTCTGAAATGTCGGTAAACATCTACCAGACTACGCGGCGCAACAACTCAGAAGACAGAAATCTTCATACTCACTGCTGTGAAAACCTCAAATCCTACAAATTATTGTTAACTTACTGGCTCCTTGTGTCTGGATCATCCTTGAATAGCACTCATTCAGGTGATCACGAGATTCTGTGTTATTTTGGAAAGAAATTGTTTATGTCCGTGACCAATAAACCTCGCCATTATACCTTTTTGGGAGCCAACAGAATTCAAGTTTTGGCTTAAACCTTCCCGGTATATTTGCTTAGATTTTATCGTAATATTATCCTCTAGTCTCTGTGCGGCGAAATAATGAAATCATGTGCGTTGGTAGTTAATTTATCTAAATTTTGTTTCCCATTGATTGTGAACGGATCCGTAAAAATATTACAAATGTAACATTTATATGTATTTATACAAACTTACTATTATTTCTTGTGTCGTTAATTACATTTTTTTCAATACGTAGTATTTGTAGTTTAGGAATAGATGAAACTTGTTACCCACAGTTGTGGTATTAAACTGACATGTTAAGATGATTGAGAGGGTACGTCATTTAGTCATACTGGTTCAAGTACTGTCGTTATATGGCAGTAACGATCTAAGGTTTAGCTTTTTTATAAAATCCAAAAATGAGGACACAGTTAGAATTACTGCTTTAAAGGCATCTTTTCAGTGCATAAAGCATGTATTAGAACACAAAAGTCAGCAAATTTGGTTTAAATTTTATTGAGAATTGTATTTTGGCGAAATTGCGGGCCCGGCGATAACGCCATCTGGTGTCCTCAATATGAAATTAATTAAAAAAAATGCTATACCGAATTGCGATGACTCTTTGTCACAAAAGAAGCTATAAAAGTATAAAATTGTGATTTTGTAACACCGTTAAATTGCAATTCCACCAGCTACATGGCGCGCGAGGAATAAACAGCTGTTACAATATGGCAGTCGGGTTGTGGCTCTGGTAGCCATATTGTACTATTCAACGAGAAACTTACACACGTGTTGCTGTCGCATTCTGCTGGCTGGTGTGAAAAGCACATTCAAATGGACAAATGGGGCTGTTGCTATCGCAGAATTATTCTGTCGTCCTTCGTTATTAATACACATGTTTTTTTCGAAACACGTTATTTTATGTTTGAGATAGTTCTTATCGTCTATATTTAAGTAGAGGGTTCTAAAATGTGAAGCCATTTTGCGTCCGACTTGGATGGAGGTTTGCAGAAACAGATGCAGCCGAAATTTAAACTCATAAACATTATTGTATTAATATAAGGAGTGGGCCTAGTAGTGACATTTTAATATTATCTCTGTTAAAATATTCATCATAAATTGGAATAATTATGACCGTATTCTGAAATACTGAAATAATTGAAAAAGTTGACAGACGTTTCAGAGGTGTTTGCTACCTCCGTTATTATTGCTCTGATGATGTAGGTAGTAAGCATCTTCGAAACGCCTATAGATTTTCACGAGACTGCAAGGCCCAAAATTTGTTTTTGAACTCGCCACCACGAGAACCTGAAATCTCACTGAAATTATTTTTTTGTTTTTGCATTACAATTAGGCCATGTAACCACAAAACTATAGTTGAAACACGACAGCAAGAAGACCTCTAATTAAGGTTACGGACCTTTGTCATATAGTGTATGATTCATTATGCAGGACTCACACCCTCGTGTATTTTGTGATGAATCAACTAACTCCATGGAGCAGAGTTTTTAGTGATAAGGTGATACATTTGTCATATCGTAAATTAAGTTTTATGCGATCATCTAGTAGCGCTTAAAATGTTGATATAATTATCGAAGAGTTTTTGAAATCAATTTTAGTGTATAAATAATCGCCTTAATATAAATGCGTCTAAGTTTGTAATTTTACTGAGAAAGACTCAGTTGTCTGTAGTGATTGGAAAGGTTTGTTCGAATTTCTCTGCACGTACTATATTTTAAAAATTGGGTGTTCCGTGATTCTGCTTACCAGATTGTCCCTTATGCTCATTTACTGCAGATAAAAGACAGTACACATCGGTCACTTCTGGCCCACTCACAACGCATAAGGTCGATTGAAGATTGCGCTGAGTATAAAAATCATCGTACCGCTGTGGATAGAAATAATTATGGCAGATTGTTAGAGAAGAACGTTTTGAGTCTGTTGAGCCGATGCGGACGAAAGTTAAATTCATCCCACAGCTTTTATTGTAGACCAACAAATATTTGATCGAAATTCGGCGTTGTCCCTTAGACTAAAGGCTATCCTCTTGTAAACGCTGAGATAAACAGTGCGGGGAACCTTGATTTGACGACAACTATACGCCTTCGTAGCGTGTTTTACTTTATTTATTTATTTATTTATGGTTTATGTAAAGCATAGTTGACTTTTCTTGGGGTCGAATAATAGGGCGAGCAATGAAAATGAATTGGAAAGGATGTGGAAGGTAGCTGGATAGCCAGTCTCTTGGCCGATATTTGAATCCAGGACTTCCGAAATACGAAGCAGGAGTGAATACTAACCACTCGGTCGAGGTGTTTGGTCATAGCGTGGTGCTTCGTTCTATCTTTTCCAACAAATTTAGCAAGTGGTACAGATGTTTCAGTGTGGAGAAGTGGGAGAATTGACATTATCTGTAGGCATGCCCAGAATGGTCATTGTTCATTATGCCTACGGCAAAGATTAAAGTGTCAAAGGATCGTGATTTCGTAAATAAAGCGTGCTAAATATTACGTTCAGAAGAACTGTAGTCCCTTCCAGCCGTAGCGGGTATTAGTCTTCCGATGACCAGCGTATTAGTGAACTTCCGGATATTATAACCATGTATGGATTTAATGTGCACATGCGCTAATTAATTGGCATTACAGATACAGCTTCGAACTAATAAGCCTCCTCTAATTAAATGGGCGGCCTAATTAAACAGCAAAAGCACAACCCTTGCACAATGTAATTATCACCAAACCTGCGATGATTTATTGCGCAGCCCCAGCGTCTATACCACAGTATTGTAATAACCCCGTTGTCTGTCAGCCATTTTACCTTATAATTCGAAATAATGGCCGGCTACTAGAATTGCTTAGTCGAACACAGGCGGTTCCTGATTGTGGGAATAATTTGTATGTAGGCAGAAGGTACACGCATAACATAAAACCTCTCATATCTTAATAATATTATCATATCATAATGCACAACGCATTTACAAACACAGTTCTGGACACAGTCATGACTTAAATGGGAACAATTACGTCATCAGCATTGAAGTTCAAGATGGATGTCTTCTGGGTTGTAGCGCCGTGTAGTTTATTGTAATTTTATTGACGTTTCAGCACTGCCTGCTGTCTCCATCATCAGGGAATCTTGTAATAATGCAGAATACATCCATCTTTACGCTAACCTCAGTGAGAACCTCAAATCTAAAAAAGCATTTAGGTTGTTAATATTTCTGAATTTGTGAGTAGTTTGCGTGAAGTGCATTTTATGAACGAGTGACGTGGAGTTTTGAAATTATTTTCCTGTCTAAACTTAATTATTTCGTTACGGCCTTGCTGTAGCTCAGGCGGTTAGTCATTGGATTCTTACCACTGAGGCAGGGTTCAGGCCCAGGTTAGTCCACGTCGGATTTGTGTTGGACAAAATGTCACTGAGGCGGGCTTTTCTGAGTCTTTCGATATTATCCTGTCAATAGAATTTAACTACTACTACTACTACTATGGCGTAACAGCCCAAAATCGAGCCCTAGCCTCCTCTATCTTCTTCCTCCAATCCTCTCTATCCAACGCTATCCTTCTCCAAGCTGCTGTTCCAAGGAGATTTCTGGAGTCAGTCGTCACTGCATCCAGCCATCTACCTTTAGGTCTTCCCACTGGCCTTCTCCCATATATTGTTCCTTCCAATATTTTTTTGGGTATCCTATACTCTTCCATCCTGTAAACATGTCCAGCCCATTCCAACCTTCTCAGTTTAATGTGAGTTACTATATCATCACTTTTATATAGTCTATATAGCTCATGATTGTAGCGTATCCTCCACTTCGAGTTTTCCTGAACTGGTCCAAAGATTCTTCTCAAAATCTTCCTTTCAAGTGCGCCCAGCATCATTTCTGTTTTCTTTGTCAGTGTCCAGAGCTCACTTGCATAGCAGAGGATACTCCTGATGATGGTCTTATATATCCTTATTTTACTGTTTTTATGTACACAATTAGAATTCATAATCCTTTTTAACGCAAAATATATAATAGAATTTAACTGTTGCCCCATATTCACTCTTATGTCACCTGGGGGTGCACAAGGGTCCCTTCAGACGTTTAATTCTACAGGGACATAGTCTTACCTCATCGCAAAAATGACAAAAGTAATAATTATTTCGACAGTCATTTTTATTAATGAAGCTTCTTAGTTGGCTAAATGCCTGCTTCAATGGTGATAGACTTCTTGTAAGTGATTTAATACGAAACAAGTCGAGATTTTAAAAACCATTTCTTCCAAACGAGAATTCTCATACTTAATAAAGAAAGTGTTATCGTAAGTATGAACAATAACAGCATACACACAATGACATTGGAGAATTAGCTGTGTGTTCCTGGTTGTGATGAGAATAGGTTCCTCACTTGATGACGTAATAACGTTATGTTACAGGAGCGCATCTCTTAGGCGTAGAATACACAATGATGGATTGTCTGCAACGTCTGTGCTGTGAGCATGAGGCTGAGGTTTGTATCGTGTTTAATTGGAGGCCATGTTGTGCATACAGAAACCGTATGAACGTAACTCACTACATCTTAGTCACTTTGTTTGTACATGAAATGCAAACAAGTTGCTCGCTGCTATAATATTCATCATAGATCCACCCAGCAGCAGATTTACGTCTTAGCGAAGTTGGACAAACTTCGTAAATGACTTTAAGTCCAGCAGCGCTTGGTCAGGCTAGTTTTGCTGTTTGTTGATGGTGATCAACGGCGTGATTTTTAAAAAGTTTTGTTTTGTTCAGCTCTATATTCCATGGCTTGAGACAGTTTTCTCCACCCAGAAGCCAAGACGGCGCCATGCTGTAGATACAAGCCTAGTTAGCCTAGTTAGACCAGATCCTTTTGAGTTTTTCAATAATAATACAGTGTTCGACAAAATTTAAAAATTTTCCATCGTAGCTGTGTTCAAAACATTGACAAGCAAAGAAGATTATAATAAGAAAGAATGCATTTGTGATCTCCATACGCGTCTGTCTACAGTTCGTTCGTTAACACAGTTTCACGCAACTGTCTATTACCGGCTCCCGGCCACAACTGCATGTGTCACTCCGCAGCGCTAAAAGCAACTGCCACTAAAATTACTCACAGCAGTGCAGCTGTTTCTAACGTCGTATTAAGCGCTGGTTATTGCTGTGCATATGGACATGGTTCTATATGTATATACGTGCTACAGTATACGAGGTGCGATCAAACATCCAGTGGTTTTCAATTTTAATCAGATGGGCAGCCAGACAGACACAGTTGTGTATTTATTTTGTGCACACCGAGTAAAGAATACCTAGTAAGGGGCAACACAAACAAATAACGGGACCTGGGCTTTCTAAAATGTTACAGCATGAAGAACTATAATAAGAATAGTGTTCAGTCTTACAGGCTTTACTTCTCATACTGAATATTTAGTTTCATTTGGGCAAATTATGTAATACAAATTTAATCTAATTTTAGCCTGTGTTAACTAAACATAACACTGCTGTCTAGTATTCTCACATCTAGTACACTTCAAAAGACTGTAAACAACATACGATGTTTTGAAATTCATATAAATAAATGGGAGCTTAGAAGCAAAATATGATAAATATCTCTGACAGTGTGTAACTGCATTAAAATTGAAAGTTCAAGTGAAATTAAGTTGGATTTTGAGTAAAACTGTCACAGTTACAGGCATTCTAATTGCAACATGCATTCAGTTCCCCATGTCAAATACTGTAACTTTTATAATATACAACAATATAAATTTCCTACCGGCAATGACTGCACATCGTACTATGGTACGACACATCATAGGATATAATTCTCAAGTTCAAAATTAATATGGCTTACCTTCAGCGCAAGTTCGGGTGCAAGGGGTGCCTGACCATTTACCAGATCCAAACATTCAATCCAGTCAAGCTTCAATTTTATGTCTGACAACTTCCTTTTAAGTTCAGCCTATAAACCAGGAAAACAACATGAATTAGGTATGTAGTGATATAAGCTTCATAGGACAACTTTCGCATATATATATATATATATATATAAGCAACATGTTCGCAGTGTGATATAAACTTTAGATTTGTGCTTAAAATGTTTATTGGAGAAATATAACTTTCATTAATTTGAAATATGTGTTATCTAATAAAATAACAATATAAATAAACTCTTATTATACGTCTATGAAACTCAATGCCATTTTAAAACGATAAATACATTCTATTGACTCAGATAAATTTATTTGCAAAATTCGCTTACAAATGCGTTATGTTCTGTACTTAGGCATTCTGCATGCAGATGGCCCGATAAATGATGGTCATTGGCTGTATGGCTTTCAGTCCTTCGCTGTAAAGAGAAATATATTATTATGTTCTGAAATGTTGCGCAGGACCTCGGACTAGGCGGATTCCTTGGAACTACCATTTCAGTTAGCTCAAAATAATTACCAGTAGTAGGTTGCTGTGAAAGTGGTAATGAATTTTGTGCCTTCTAAAAAGTCGGGGAACTTTTTGAATAGCTGAGTGAATATCAGACTCTCAAGGACATTGCTTCTGTGTATATGGAAACAGTTGAAAGTAGATTGACTCTGTCAGGAATTCCTGAAATATTATACGTGAATTCATGAGTTTTAGAAAATACTTTTACGACTTATATTATGCCGACTACATCCAGCGTCCGCTCTGAAGCACCTGTTGCTCGCTTTCGTTGTTAAGGATCTAGGATTAAAAGCAACTGAATGCACTATGACCTTTGCATTGATGGACTCCATGGAACAAATGTAGATGTCGGAAGTGTCGCTCCTGACCTTGCATTCAGAAGATTCTTTTAATGCAGTGCTGAAAATTAATTTCAGAAGAAAGCTCTGTGTATACAAAGGGAGACGCCATATCTGCTGGTATGTTTCGTTATTACGTGGTCTAACAAATGTTATGCTTCAGGTCTGGTGACACAATGCCACTGCTTGTTATGGCATGCCCCTCATTAAGAACAGATTCGTACTCATTGGCTCTACAATGTGAGGCTGCAGTCACATTGGATGCGAATTCCTGCCACTTCTGGACGCACGGATTCATGGGGCTTCGTGTGAATATAACAAACGTACGAAGCGTCTAGACAATGGTCACATTGCTTGCGGGTGAGTTTTGATAAATCCCGCAAGAATCCATACGGTCAAAGTAAATCTTTCAAAAGAGTTGATTTTTCTTCAGCGTCTGTGAAATGTGGATTACAAAGGAGCCATTGGGATTAGAATGACAAACACAATCACAATCATGATGTGAAAGAGATATTATGAAAAATGTTTCTGTTTAATAAATTCTGTGCTTTTTTGTAAACGTAGAGTAAATTGTTTACAGAATATAACTCAAGTTCCGTAGTTCATTCGGAAGAACTCGAAAAAAAAAATTGGGGTTCTTCCAAGGGATGCGGAAATATTTTTCGTATTCGCTCATTGCTCTTCTCTTCATGAACAATTCAAGAACCCAGAAGGAAAGGGAGTAATTTATCATCACTATTTTTATGAAGGTAGAAATCTCACTCATCTAAGACCGCTACAGTCCACTGTTCGCGGAAGACAGTTGCATACAGTCGTATTCAATGCCAACACCTTGGTCGTTCGAATACGCTCGACCAACAACTGTACTACTGGTAATACCATGAATTAAAATTCGACGCACATAAGTAATTAAGAACCTGGCATTACAGTGTATATTACGTAATAAACATTATTTTTTTTAGTGGGGCGGGCTTTTGGCTGTTGGACACAAGCAGGAGGGACTGTAGATTCATGGGCGCCATCTGCTGGCGTGACATGGACAGTTTGTTTGCGGTTAACCTGCTGGCCAACCCCGCCCCTAGCGCCGTCACATTACGCGTGTTAGGGCCTGCCAGAACATAGTGTGCGTTATGTGGCAACAGCAAAATATGATAGTTGCATCTGCATCCTGACCAAAGTTATCTAAATGCTTTTTTGCATATAATAAATCATTTTTGGAAAAAAAGGAGAAACAGTAGGGTTTGAGGTTCTCAGGGCGGTTGGTATGAAGATGGCTGCCTTATGGGTTGCAGTGCCATGTAGCCTGGTAGACGTTTACCAACATTTCAGAGGTCCTTGCTGCCTCCATCATCAGGTCGATGAGTGACAGGGTCTTCAAAAACATCCAGATGGATTCAGCCCCTTTACATTCCGTTAATAACAGGAACAGTTTCGGTCACTTCATCTCTTTTAATTTAATGTTTAGGTTCAAAAGTAGGTCTGTAGACAAAGAGACAATTCATCAATACTGCCCCATAAAGATAAAATGGTTCTGTATTTCTTAGGAATCTAAAACGTTCTGAGTTTTGCATATTTATGCTGTATTCAGTAGCTTCGAAAAGCATGATTTTCTTTTTACAATTTCACAAAAATCTACATTAATGTTCGTAACTGAATCAAGGGACGTGAGAGGAAAAGAAAATACACAGCTCGTCAAGCGCCAACAGAGAATATTTTGCGAGTGTTAGGACCACATTCAGACGTCAATATAGGGCGTGAAAATAGGAGTAGTATTGTGGACTCAGGATTATAAAGAAGCATAGACCACACTTCTGCAACATTCTTAAATTAAGGAATATCGCTATATGTTGTCGGTATGGAAGAAAAACGAACTAAGAAGGAACCAAGAAGTGTATCTATGTATGCTTTTAATTTGATTGTAAAATATTTGTTGTGTTTCAAAAAACTGCCGTTGAGTGCCGAGATGCTGTTTTTACAATTTTCTAAGTGATCAAAAATGCATTGTTTGCTCCCAGCATTGTAACAAGACATTTATTTTCACTGGTATAGTCTATGCCCATTAAGTAACTTAGTGGAATATCACCTTGAATGTAGGAGAAATTGAAATATTCAGGCTTTTGTCCTCCGTGTCTCAGCGGAGAATGTAAATTAATTAAAGGCTGGGCTGTGCCCTCGTTGTAAAGCTACAGAGCGGTGATTACAGAGGAAACTCGATGGCTTTTTGTCACTTCTTTCTTGTGAGAATCACACAAAAGATCAAGCTGAAACTTGATCACTGATCAAAAGTACTTATCTGCCGGTATTGCCTTTACTGTGTGATCTGAAATATACTTTAGGATCAACTGAAACTAAAGCAGGAACACAAATATTATATTATAAGGTTAAGTTGACCTCCAATGTCATAATGCTTATGCCAATTAACGTAAAAAATTCTTGGCGGTTTCAGAAGTTTAAAGAAAGAACACGCCACACACATATTGACACATAAATCACATAGAGCATGATCACATAAGTCAATTTTATTTCCTTGGGAAAGGAAATTACGTTGGAACAGTTTCAGGTAAGTGAAAAAATGTGTGTGTAATTGTTTCGTCACAGAACGTTCTCGTGATATCAAGATGGCACCCCGTCTGCTTCTTTTAGACACATCCGCATTAATGTTTACACAAGCTCGTAATCTAACACAAAGTCAATTAAAAATGTAGAACAAACGCACTGTAAAAACAAACAAATAGCAGATTTGGAAACGACTGACGAGCGTAATAATTCTGATGCATTTGCTAGGACCTTTGCGAATGATTTCAGCGACTTTAAAGTGGTTAAGTAGGCGCCTGTCTGGCTGAAGATTCACCACTTAAAGCTTAAAGATGCATGTAGGTCATCATATAAAGTGTCCTTTGTTGTTTTCCGGTGTTAACCGAAAATTGAATATGCCGACAAATTTTAATAAAACTCCACAATATCGAGTGTCACGAAAATCCGTTTAGCGGCTTCCGAGTTGGTACGTGCTGGCTGATAAGACACTGCGAAGTTCATAGGAGCATTTTTATCAATTTTTAGTTGCAAACGATTCTAAAAATGAAGGTAGTATGAAATATTTTCACGAAATAAATAAAGTAAACGCCATCTTGAGTCATGTGTTCCATTTCCTTTGGAACCCACTTCGTGTCAGATCGATACCCATCTTAAGTATTAATATCATTTCGTTATACGTAATAGAAATTTAATGAATCTTTTCCCTATCTTATTCTGTGCTTGGTGAACGCATATCAGCTTGGAGTGGTGGAAGAAATAACTTCTAAGAGAAATAAATGTACTGGAATTATTATATACAGTGGTTAAGGGAATGCAAATGCATTTCCTTCAAGTCTACGTTTGGCTTCAATTAATACCTTGCAAGTCTTGACTTCTGATTCTATTATTACTTTCCAGAACGGAATGAAAAATCTAATAAAAAGTAAGAGATCGAAGAGAAGGCCTTTTTCAACTCTAAGTTGTGAGAGATTTTCTTGTACTGCAGAACCGCAGAATGTGGACTCTGTCGCAGTGAAGAATTAGAAACTAAATCCTGTCCCTGCAAACCAGTTTAAAAGAGAGAACCCAGCTGTAAGGTTGTCTGTGTTACAGCTCGTAGTGCCTTAGCTGTATTTATTTATTATCCACACTTAACACAATTTATTTATATATGATAATACGTTTATGCATATATAAACCTTCTTCAGGGTTTTATCACGTCATAACTCGGGAAGATTGTCTCGTCAGTACAATTTCCAATTATGACTTGAAGAAGCAATGAAGATTTTATATATAAACTGAACCGTCGTTTGTTTCAGAAGTGATTTGTACCTAGTGTGGATATGAAAAGAAATATTTGCTTGAAGTTACTTTTTATAATTTACTTTGTGAGATAGAGTGAAACCGGGATAGTCGGTGTCCGACAGAGATTCGAACCGAGTGTTCCAGTTTATGAATAAAAGTAATTAAAATGTTTAGACATTCCGTGCCTTTAACATTTATTTTGCTCTGTTGCTAATTAAAGTGGATTCTGTGGAAATAGGCTTTAAGGATGTGAACTGAAATTAACTGAATAGGGTTCAATGGAGGATTTAAGTGGTGGCTGTGTTATGTTTTCTCCTGAACAACGGAGAATGTTTTCAACAGTTAAATAAACATTGACT